TTTTATGGTGACAGACATTTAGTGGAATGTTCAAAGCATTTTATCAAAACATGATCAATAATTATCTTCATGACTGCATGTGGATAGCTGCATAAAATTCAACGTTATTCAAGAGATGCTCTGCCCTGTGCGGCATAACAATTCCATTCGCATGTTTGGCAAAAATTAGTTATACATTCGAATCGATTTTCAAGTACCATCGCTTCACAATGAACAGGAAAAGTTTCCCGTCCATAAGCGTCCATAGAGAAAACAATCTGCAGCAGCGTTTTTTTCAGCATGCTATTTTTTTTACGAATGGAACAACTATGCTAAAAAGGGCAGTGCTCTAGTAGCAAAGAAAGCAAACCTTCAATACATCTACTCTAATATTTCCATTGTACATTTTCGATGTTATCAAAAGACATTTGCCCATGTTGGCAGTTGATCGACAATAAGATTTTTTTGAGACAGCAAACCTTCTATCCAACATCATTCGAATGTTAATGATCCCATTTATCAAGATACGAACACAAGCGACTCTTAGTTTCAGCTCTCTCTCGTCGTAAACAAAAACAAGGCATATTCTATTTTCGTCTTTCTGAAAATGAAAATATAAAAGATCAAAATTACTGCGTACTAGTTTTTTTTCCACAATTGACAAACACGAGATTGCCGTGCTTCATCGTTATTGAATTATCACTAAATTATGGCCGTTTGGCTGCGACTTTAATAGGTGCTAGTCTACCTCCGCGAGTAAATTGGTAAACATGTAAACAACTGCGATGCCGGTTAGGCTAAGCGTTTCGGTTAGAACCGGTTCGCACCAATGTTCATCACCCGTCAATAACTCAAACTCATACACCTACTCCTCAAAGATGGTGGTTGACTATTCAACCAGCCGCGGCTTTTATCGACGCACTGCTGCTGCTGCTGCCGCGATGTTTTACTATGTTTACAACAATGGATTGATTACACTGCCAAAGTACATACTTACCTCGTCATAGTGCGTATGTACACTGCACAATGGTCCCAAAACCGTATTTAGGAAGACAAAAATGTGTGCCCTTATGCCGTTAGTTTTAGGTAAATGGTGTTTCCGCCCATGTAACGTTGCAAGTGTTATAAATGTTTTAAAGCATTCTACTAGGGCAAACCATGACAAGACCATCATAAAACCAAAAATGCTACTTGGGTGGCAAAGTTTTTACATATTGTTAAACTTGAATATTTTGAATTCGATAACCATGGGAGTCGGCTTAATTTCACTTACGTAACAAATTGGCCAAATAATATTGAAAAACTTTCCCAAAGATACCATTTACCTAACTAACGGTATAAGCGCAAAAATTTGTGTCTTCCTAAGTACGGGTTTGGGACCATTGTGCACTGTAGACGGATCGTTATCATTTTTCTTTCTGTGCTTCAGCACTTATCAACGGACAACACCAGCACAGAGACCGGTCCTGATGGGCCTTGTGAGATGTAGCACAATCTGATTGTACGCCAATAATCGACTTTTGATAGCTTACTGGCTTACTGATATACTTCTTGGCTCGTCGAATGGCTCTTATTCATTTCAAACGGAGCACACCCACTCAAACAATGACAACGCAATCATTATGGTTTGGGCCTTGCGAATCAGCGAAATTTAAACTTGATTGTAATAGCATTTTGGGCGATGGGGTAGTATCTGATTGTGTACGGCGCGTGGGGCGCTTTATTGATACCATAAAAGGCAAATCGATGATGGTGTGACGTGGTATCACCCGATTTAACAATGGTGGGAATTTCCTGATTTATATGGAGGACTCAAACAGGTCATCTGATTTGGCTTTATATTTGCATCTCGAAGATACAAAATGACTTTACTTATTCGACATGTGTTAGACTGCACCAAAGGAACACAAAGTGCACTTCTTGATAAGGGATAATATTTTCAATCGTGAGTGCTTCAATATGTTTACTTGTAAAGTGGAACATTTACGCAATGCATTTGATGTAACATATACATCAACAGGAAACGCAAAGGGTTTGAGTGGGACACTACTTCTCGTATTATGGGTCATTGACAGTAAGTCGTTGGTAATCAATAGAAAGGAAGGATTAGTTGTTGTGTCTCTTATCACTCAGTCGTACCGGCTTTCAGGCTGTCTCCAAGAGTACAATTCGTTAAGATACATGATAAGATACGTATATGGTTAATAACGTCGACCAGCTTACGCTGTGATGTAATTTGGACAGATGAAAACCTAGATATGCTGTTGATTGTTAGGCGCTAACATCATATTTCTTTTTGAGACTTTGTCATAAGTAATTAAACATTACAGCGTACACAAAATTGTCGGTGCATCTGTATGACTACTGTTTTTTTTTTAAACACTATTGATGAATAGATTTCTTAATGCTGCTGGTTGATATAATATTTATTGATAAATCGGACTAGTTTTTGGCTTGATTGACTGAATTCGTAGTAAAATTTTCGGTGCAATAAAATCTTAACGTTGACTACAACTAAGTAAGTTTTTGAAAAAGTAGTTCGAAATAACTCAATTGTTTTACACATTCAGCCAATCAGGCCTAAACGAATATCGATAAATCTTGAATACAGTGCCAATAATTCACATTTGAGCTAAATTTCAATCAATTTGAATTTAAAAAAAAAAAAACAATAATCAAAATGGTGCATTCGATATCTTCCAGCAAATCATAACTTTTAAACGTAAATTTCATCAAAATAACGTTTAAAAAAATAACATACATAAAACTATAAAAAGTAAAAAAAATCAAGAAATTTTTGGTAGAAAAATTCAAAATGTGTTTTAAACTTAAATACAAATAAGTGACCCTCTTTAATATATTTTTTTTTCTTAAGCTTAGACTAAAACTTATGTATCTATGTTCAAATATCAAACTTATGAATTTCACAGAAATCAGCATTTTTATAAGCCTTTCATTAAATTTTTTTTAACAAAATATTAACCCTTCGTCTGTGTAAAAAAAAAATACCTTATCTGTATCTTGGGGTCAATTTGACCCCAAATCAAAATTGCCGTATCTTAACGAAATTTTGATGGATTTTTGAAGTTTCAAGAGTTATGCAACTTAAATTTAGTGGACTTTAAGATAAAATTATCAAACCATGTAGGAGGGTGGAGAGGAGTCATTGCAAGAATGTTCCCATGAAGTGGGATATTTCGATCATCACTATCCAGAAGACCTTGAGCATTAGCTCTATTTTTCCGTGGATATAAATTTCGTAGATGACCAGGATCTGATTTCATAAATTTAACACTTTTAAGGATGTTCCGAATCGTTCGGTGAATCCCTCCTGGTCTCATGGATCCATATTCCGCTTACAATTTTGGATTCATTCTGATTACAGATCTACAAATATAAAAACCTGAAAGAATTAAGGGATTAATTATAAGGAAACCAGGTTTTCATATTTTCTGCATTTAGTTCCAATCTTGAGACCCCTGATACAAGTCTCGCTGTAACAGCTTCTTTATTACTTTATATTTTATGGAGAACCTATCAACTCCGAATAGATATGTTTTTATATCTAATAGTAGCATTACTAGGGTAAGTGTGTCAGTTTTTGGTCCTAACTGTCATCTAATTGGCCCTTGCTGAATTATCATATGTTTTCATTCTTTATTAAATGTATTTCGACGCAAAGTTAGAATATATATTTTCCCAAATATCTGCGCACAGAAAATTATCAAAATTTATTTAAAATTAGAGCTAGGTTCTAGGGCCAAAAACTTGAGGACTTGTGTTAAAACTGGCACACTTAACTTAAATGCATAATAATATAATAGCTCTAAAGCATTAAATTTCATATGCACAAAAATAACAAACAGGACTCGCCACTTTGCATATTGTTTGCTTTGATGTTTATTTTGACGTTTCATATGCTACCAAACTAATATGTGTTGGCCTTTTTCAAGGGTAAAACCACAGAGGTAACTCTAAGACTGCAAGGTCTCGAAGAAACGTGCTCAACTTTTTGGCTCATCTCTGGTACTCTCTTCGGTCTCAAGTTAATCGATGCACCCCTCAAAACATAGAAAAACCCAAGTAACTTTGCAAGATTTATGGAGGTTTTAAAGCATGTTACAAGTCTAAATCATGGTCTACAGAACCCTTATAAAACCGAAATTGTTACTTGGGAATCCACGAACGCCTCATTTTATCTGTCAAACTAGCATAGCGAATCAAAGCAAACATATGTTGTTTTCGTTTTTGCGGTGTAGCACCGGTGTAGTGTAAGCAGGAATACGCGCGAGTCTTTGACAGCTCAACATCATTAGTTGGTAAACAAAAGTGCATCTTATATCTACACCCTACAATATTTCGGTGTACGGCAGTGTAGCACCGGTGTAGCTACACCGCAAAAACGAAAACGACAATAGTGTAGTATTAGAATTTCGACTAGAATGGGGTACGTTAAACGATTTGCTTGGGACCAATAATAGTCAAGTAGTGAGCCAATTTAAAATCATTAGTTTCCACCGGTTGGTAAAACTGTCTAAAGTTTGTCGTTTAATTTGTTTTTGTTGCCACGATAAGCGTGTTTAGCTTGGAAGAGCTTCCTGTATGGTTCATTGAGTTTGATTTCAATTAACATGAGAAAGATGGTGGAAAGCATAACGAATGTTACGGATCTTTCGTGAGGTCAGTTCTCGTATAGCAATCCAAAGGTTCAATCTCAGTACAACATTTTAAATTCATATTTTGTATGAACTCAAATAAAAATCATAGCGCTTTAAAAGACCATGCACTTACTATGTAAAATTGAAAAAAAAATCTGACGTGTTCTTACAAGGGAGGCAGGTAATGACAGAAATACCTTACTAGTATATGTAATGTATAGGTAATGTACTAGTTTTGAATCACTTCAATTTAAGGAATTAAATGAACAAAATCATGTCGAATTTCAAAGCTATTCTAATGAAAATTGAACCTCACCTGCTATAACCAATTCTCATCACCTCTTTTGCTTTCTCTCCTTGCAGTGCGGCATGCGTCGCCCATCACTGGGACAGAACGAAGACGACCTGAGTCGTCTTACAACGGTGATATCCCCAACGACAGCCAGCTTATCTTCGGAACAAACGGAACCCGACGGAAGCGATAACAACGGTGGCTGTGGCGACAAGAGTAATCACAAGATCAATCACAACCTACAACAACAACAGCACAGCAAGAATGGCAGTAGCAGTAGCAGCAGCAAAAATAACAACAATAACAACAACAACAACAACAGTTTTTCCAAGAACTGCAACATCAGCAGCAGTAGCAATAGCAGTAGCTTGGGAACACAAGGCGAATCCAAACTGCCTAATGTAACTAATTCATCTGAGTGGCAAAATTGCAGAAAACGTAAAGAACGGCAGGACAGTACGTCCTCCATCAGTCAGGATCGGAAACTGATCCGGTCGAACAGCGAGGAACATCTCCCAAACTGTAAGGAGGTGATCCGTCGCGTGTCCTCGCATGAGGACTTTAAGAAACCCTCGCCGCTGATCGAAATCAGCGTCGACAAGGAGAACATTATCGAAGAATCTGCCGAAGAGCAGCAGCAGCTGGAAGAGCAGCAAATTTTCGAGAAGAATTTGAAAAACAGTTCGGAGAATTTGAAGAAATTTTTCATCGGTAGTGAGAGTCTTTGTGCAGCCAGCAGGGATTCTATCGATAGTCAGAACCACCACAGATCTGGCGACGTCGTCCAGCATCATCATCATCATCACTTGCACAGCAATCACCTGAGTCATCATAACAGAAACCGACTGTCACCGTGTCGGGATGTGCTGAAATATCGCAAGGACTCAGACAGCGAGTTGGATGAAGAGCACGCGCGACGTCGCAATTGTGAACGGTTTTCAAAGACTCGTCCACCACCGGGTCGAAAGTCGGTTTCTCCTCGAAACCGCACCAAAACGAGCAAGTATTCCAGTGGCAAGGATAAGAGCGGAAGTGAGTACTTCTACTCCAAGCATGATTCGCATCACTCGGTTAAACATGAACGCCGGGGCTATGGTAAAAAGGAAAAGACGTCAGAACAAAAGACACCCGAACCGGACATCCTCTCCGACTACAACGACAACAACGTCCTGGAAATGGGCCAAGAAGAATCTCCACGCGAGAAACAGCTGCCCTGGGACCAATCCTTCCAGGACGACACACCGGTCGTGTGTCAACGGTTCGCCGACCACAAATTTGAACATGCCACAAAGATGGCAACCTTCGGAGAGGTTCGTAGTCTACCGCCGAATGCCACCATAAAGCATTACGGGGGCTATCGCAACTCGGAAATTCACCAGACAAATCAGAAACCGATCCCCCAAGCGAATAACATGTTTGACGATCGCATCAAGACCATCAGCCGTAAACTAAGTGCTCTGAAGAAGAAGCTATCGCAATACGAGGATCGGTTCGAGCGGGAAAACGGTTACCGTCCAGCTCACGGAGATAAAACCAGTGATTGCTCCATTAAGGCGGTCATCGTGGAGATTCATAAACTGCGCAAGGAAAAAAATCAAGTCAAGGCCGATTTGGCGGTGTCCAATGCAAAGCTTGCCAAGGCCGAAGCTGTGGCAGAGTCTCATGAGGAAGAAAGCAATCTTTTCAAAATGAAGGATTCAATCGCCGATATCGAGAAGGTGAGTGTTTTTAATAAACAAAGTTTATGTCGTCATCAAACATTTGAAGTCAATGAAAACAGAAAGGCTTCCTGTCAATTGGCGACACTTGACGGGATTCCGCCGACGTTGTCGCCAATTGATGGCCCTCATGGTTGTTGATGGGTGCACATTCAATCTCGATCGGCAGAGTTGTCATGAGCGGGAGAGCTAATAAATCATCCCGCCCGTACAATTTCCCCCCTTACTCCAACCTCTCATTTGCTGATGTTTATCGATCAAATAACGTACTGATTGTAATTATACTTCGATGAGCGGGAATATGTGACAAATCACAATCAAAACATCACAAACATATCTCCTGTGGTAGATTTCAATCGCATTCGAATGTCAGAGTCACAATTCTGCCGCATAAAATATACCATCGAGCAACCAATTGTGGCTCCATCGAAGGTGATTGCAATGAATGGACTAAGATTTTACCAAGGAACTTATGGAACTCGACCAGACCAGTGCGAATGGGTGTGGTGACGTCAATGCTACACTCTTCGTCGGTTGGGATTTGAAATTCGCTTCATGTTTGTTCTGTTGCGTTGATGGGGATGGATTTGCGTGTCTACTACTGAAGGAAATACGAGCCTAACGCTCGCCCTTAAAAAAAGTTACGTCGTAATCGCGCGTTTGCTGCTGCGGGAAAATATGCGAAAGGTTTTGTGTGACCTTGGAGGTCGTGGCTTGATTGATTGTGTCGAACGCGCTTCTCTTCCCCCCTTGGACTCTTTCTCTTTCTCTCTTTCGGATGTGTGGGTGGGAAAAGACGACTCATGCATGTCGCTAGATGTTTGTTTATAGCGCAAAATTCGTAATTGAATGTTAAATCGATATTGAATGGTTCGGTTGTAGCAGGGTATCATTTTTGCATTTCTTTTCGGAGAGATTTGCTGTATCGTAGGTAGCTTAAAACTGCTTAAAAAAAATCCCTGGAACAATATTTTTTGCATAATGGTAGGTTATAAAGTTTGTAATTGAATAGTTTGAAACACGGGTCTACTGATGATTTGTACTGCTGCTGCAAATTCTTTAAGAACTTCTCTAAGTATTTCCAACTTGTGATTGATGACGATGATGATAGGCTGTCCTAGCAGAACGACTTGATCTTACTTATCTTTAATTCTAGAGGAACAATTGAAATAGGCGGAACAACCAAACGTAAACAATGGCTTTAAACGCAAATTTCCCGAGCATCAATACACACCCACGCAAACTAACAGTGCCATTGCGTTGATTGTGTGGATGTGTTTTTAATCTCAAGTAGTTGGCAATCCCACTCTACCTACCAAAATCGCATGATGGCTCTAACTCTGACTCTGACTCGTACTACATAGGAACATAGGGACAGGGGCTCTTAACGTTGACCATTTGACTAATGACAATTTTAAAATGCTTCCAACACGGTGCTTATACTGCTGATTCCTAACCTCCCAAAATTTGAATTCATTTGGACAAAAACTGCTTCTGCAACCGTTTGCGGTAGATATGGATATTACTACATGGGAATACCAAACTTGTAGTTCATTGCCATATTGGTCTGACAAAAAGTTCAGTCGCTATTATTACAGGAAACCCAGCTATCAAGCTCATAATTAGAATAATATGGTGAATTGTGGTGACCCTTAAATGGTTGTGCAAATTTAGCTTTCAACCAAATGAGTTCAAATGTTGAGAGTTTGATCAGAATGCGAATTCGAACCGCACTGCAGTGATGAGCGCTAGAGCAAACATTAAATTTTTCAGGCCGTCCATAAGCTACATATGTAGTATTTGAGAGACTTAAACCCCTTCTCTTTACGTACTCAGTTGATCATAAAAAAGTTTTAATGGACCGTAAACTTTAGCCAACAAATTGTGTGTCAAGTACAGTCATACTCTATATCCAGGGAAATCGAGAAATTCTCCATTCCAAAAATTTCCTAAACCGGATCGGGAATCGAACCCAGCCACTTCCAGCATGGTCTTGCTTTGTAGCTGCGATTTTACCGACTGTGCTAAGGGAGGCCCCACATTAGGTGCACCAACCAACCACTTAGGGAGGTGCAACTTATCGATTTTGCTCCACCAAGATCAATTGTTTCCAGATCAGGTCTAGAGCATTCTAAAAAAAAAAATCGTGCTCATACTGCACTAGCCCTTTGAAGTTTACATAGGAATGACTATGGGAAAAAGGTTTTTTTCACTCTAATCGTCCTAGCTTTTCGTCACAATGATTCTTTGCTAAAAACCACTGTTTGGTTAAACGTCAACGAAATTAGTAATTATTTAGTACTTATTTGTTTAATTGTTATAGCCACTTTAACCATTTTGGTCATTCGTGACTTATCCGGAATGAGATTTGAACCTACGATCTTTAGCGGGAGAGGTATGAATTCTAACTACTACGCCGAGACCGTCTCCAATTCTATGGATAGTTTCTAGGAAATTATGAGGAATAAAGGGTGGAACGAGCAAAAAATAGTCACACTAAATTAAGCGTATAAAAATCATGTTAATACATTCATCATCTATTTTATGGTATTTTGGCAGCTTACTCTTACATGAAGCCCTGATATTGGTGAGTTCACTCTATGCTTTGCCAAGTACAAATTATCAAACTTCACAGTTGACCGCTTCGATTTAGTTTTTCACAACCTTATTGTATTGTTAAATTGAGTAATTTGACAATGTACGCCATTTTGTTTTGATTTTTTTTTCACATTATCAACTTATCTACTGTTCATCATTTAAAAAAAATCTGAATTATGATTATTTGGCAGGTTCTAGTTGTTGGCTACAACTGCAACGTTGTTGGTTTCAAACAGAAATGCACTATATTTGAGATGACTACTTTTTGTTCGTTACACCCTTTATTCCATGGGAATGTTTTTGAAGAATATTTAAGAGTTTTTGGAAGCAATCCAAGGAAATTAGAAGGAGAATTCCAAGAGCATCTTCTGGAGCATTCCATAAAAGCTTTATGATGAGTTCCAAGCGAGTTTAGGAAGAATACAAATGGAATGTTGAGGAGAGTTTCTACGGTTTTTTATTTGGAAAACTCCGAGAAGACTTTCAAGTTAGTTTTGAGTAGAATCCCAAGGCAATCACGTTTAAAAAATCTTGGTTTTATAAAGAGAAATTTAAAGGAATTTGAGGAATATTTTAAGAGGACACTGACGAAAACTATGACGAAAAATGTATACGATTTTTTGCCAAAATGCTTAAGAATAAAAAATTATTCTTAGACAACTGGAGTGGATTTTACCTTAGCGCTAATTAATCGTGCTCCACTTTGCTTTTTCATACCACCCTTAAATCTGGAATTTAACGGTCTATTGCAAATGTGTCTACACTAATCGTTTTTTAATTCATAAGCAATGAAATCAATACGAAAAGTTTAGCTGAAGCATTTATTTTTCCATTATTTTTAACGCATACCACGGAAATGAGCTTCATACGATGCAGTAGCGTGGAACCCTGCCAGAGAGAATACCTAGAATTATCTTCAGAAATTTATTGGTTTTTAATGAGTAGATTAGCCAAAGCATCTACTTTCAAGGAAGCGATACCTGCAGACCAAGAACCTGCTTCGAAAGGTAGAGAATTTTGTAAAAATGGTAAACGTTATGAAAGGAGTGTGTTCAATTTCCATCGTTAGGCAGTGGTTCCCAATGAAACTCACTTTTGTTTGACCCCGGGAGATTCTGCGCCATCCCAGAAACCCCTAACCGCTGGTGAGATTGGGAAAGTTTTCGGAATTTTGAGACCTGACCAACGGGTTAATTTGACCTCTAATTAATGGTTTTATTGACGGGTGGGAGGTGAAACACTTACGCTTTTGTCCACTTCGGTGACGTGGCTAAGGCTACCGAAGGTTGCCGGGCACAGTCCGTCCAGCACGTGATCGACCGCTGTCGATGGTGGAGGTCGAAGATGTCTATATGCATTAACCCTTGTAATTTCCTGTAATTTTATACAGCCAAACATATGAAGGAATCCACATACGACCCGGCCGTCCCGAAAGGGTAAAAAACGCCAATTTGACCTTATATTTGCCGAAAAGGTATTGAACTGCTAGAATGGCTTTTGAATATGACACAGTATTTTTATAATCAAAGAATAAAATAGCCCTGAAGACGGCATTAGAATTGATAAAAGTAAATTATGTCTATTTCATGTTTATGATTATCACTGTGTGATTACGAGAGTTCTACAGAGGAACAATACCTGGATTTTCAACTAACTACGATTATACAATTAGATCGTCTAAACACACTCGACATCCAAATAACTGTGTATGCAAATATATATCAACTTTACTCAAATGCAAAGAAAGACATTCCAACTGCAAGAACCAAGAACAAATAATAACAGCATGTGGTTTCCCATTAGCAAACGGATGATTACTTTTCCCCGTGACCGAAGAAAGGCATTGTTTATGTAAAGATAACTGCACCAGAGCTGTCAACAGATCGATTGATTGCAAATCAATCAATATGCACATCAAAATGGTAACAAACGCGTCCCCATGCCGAGCACTTGTAGGTATCGGCAAACAGCGAACACTTCGGTTGTCGTTATTGATAATTACATACCAGTTCGCTTTGACCAGACCGCATATATGATGGCAGTTAAATGAAGGGGTTACTGCTCACTTACAACCCCACATGCAACAAATTACAGCTTTCAGTGACCACTCGATTTTTGCCTTCAGGGCATCTGTGGATTTTGATTAAATAACTGGATTAGATCGTACCCAGTGGGACTCATACATTATTTTCCACGTTAGAAGAGATTCGTGACTTGCGTCGTTGTTTGATTTATGGTCGAACTTTGACGCAAGTTGTAGTGGTCTATTTAGTATGTTAATTTCTTCGGCTGGTCTGAATGCTACTGTCTATAAATTTGCATTCGTTATTCATTTATGGAAAATAGTCTAATTGAAGTATCACGTTTCACTCTTATTTGCAGCGTCTTCATGAGAAGCGTGAAACGGAGCACCGCAGTGAAAATCTGGACAACCTCTCTAGCGACCAGTTGGTCGAGGAAAAAGCTTCCGTTCAGCGGGCCTTGCTTTATCTGGAATCTATCTACGGACGTCCCACCAGTCGAGAGGAGCGCGATGCAGCACGACCTCTTTACGATCGTTATCGTATCATCAAACGCCTGGTCAATCGTGCCAACTCGATCAGTGGACCATGTGGTGCCAATTCTCAGATGCCAACCATTTTGGAACACGAAGCTCTTGCCATCGTGGGCACCACCACCCCTTCCACGGACATCTCACCCCCATCTGCCACCTCTATGGTCCAGTCGCCTACGGATACATCGACTGCCTCGACGACTGCACAATCGACCGATGAGTCGGAAACTACTTCCAGTTCCATCACCGAGAACATCCACTCGATGACGGTCGAAGAACTTTGGGAGCACTACGATGCAGCCCGGGAGGAGAAGAAAGAACTCCGGCGAACCATCAAAGATTTCGAGCAAAAATTCGAGGAAACCACTGGGCGTAAAATGTTGAAATCGGATCGCAAAACCATTGAAGATACTTATGCCTTGTACAAACAGAAGAAGGCTAAGCTTCGACTCATCGATGCTCTGTTCAAAAAACAAATGTCCGTATAAACTTTCTCATTTCGCTCCTATTCACATCGTTTTCCAGACCCAATTTGAAATAAAATCTTCCTGACTAGTCTACCTTCCCCCAAAATCCAAAACCATTCTCCGTCCCACCCATCCCTTTATTTATTCCATTTTCATCACCTTTTTGACCTCAATACTCTTATTAATTGTGTTTTTCTTTGTTTGATCGGAAACAAACGGAAAATTATGCTTACCTCGCGTCCTTGGTTTTTTTTTGTGTGAATAATTGTGAAATCTATGGACTTGTTTATTTTTGCGTTAACGGAAATAAGTTTTAAGGCGTCGTGTCGACGGAAAGCAAATGACAAAAATCAAATAATGAATCTTTACAAAACAAAACAAAGAGGGAAAATACAATGTACTACTTTGCGTAAAAGGATCAGTCAAATGATATACACTATATTTTTAGGCTTGTTTACTTGTTTTTATTTTTATTCGTCTGGTGTCTATCATCTGTTGTTAATTGACTATTGCGTATCTTTATTGGTTTGTGGATTATTACATACATTAGCGTTAGGGATGAATATCTTCACGATACTGGGGAGCTGTTTTATGAAGAGAAGTGATTTTTTTCTGTCGATGGAAATATATAAACAGTATATATACAAGAAACATAAGAAGAATACAATGTACACACTTATACTGCAAGTTGATATGAAGAGAATATTTGCATACAAAATGGGAAAAAAAAAACAGAATCGTTCAGTTTTGAGCTAAAGTGCAACAATTTAAACGATAATATTTACATTTCAAAATGTGACCTAAGCAAGATACATGTAATGTATTGAATTTTTGATTTAGCGTTTATATACATACCAGACAAAACAAAAGAAGTGCAAACATATTAATAACTGATTTTCGGCGCACGAGGTGAATAAAATGAGCATCACTGTTTAGAACCGTACTTCTCACAGACACTTACAAACACACATAACAAAGTATACACGAAAGAGCATAACAACATTGAATACAACTATAATAGCATTGAAACGATATTCCGGAATAAACAATAAATCGTACCGTATAGTTTTCTCTCCGAATTGTATTCATTGATATTTAGCCAGCGCCTAAATATGACAAAAAACACTGAAAACCATACAGAAACGGCATAAGAAAAAGAAATAAAACCAGCTGTACTCACTTACACACATACAAAAACTACACACACACAAACGGACACATGTATTTGTAGCTCTTTAAGACTTATTACGATCAATAGTTATATTGCTGGACATGATGATAAAAACTGATTCACCGGGAGAAGTCGAACGGTTCTTAAAGAACGATTTATGATTATCATTATATTTGCTTCTTCGATTACTATTACAATTATGATTGCTCTACGATGTATATGAAGGCATTATTGTATAAGCAAACTGCAGATGGAAACAAAGCAGAACAATGATTATGAAAGAAAAGTCAAGGAACGAAGTGTGAGCAGGAAAGTAGCAGTAGAAGCGAGCGATTATGGATTTAATAGGTTTAAAGAAGAAAAAATAAACAAGCAAAGTTACGTACACATGGCGAAAATTTTCATTTCATACTTTCCGAAATTGGTCCCTGGAGAATGCGCAAATTGTATTAAATCTGAAATCTAGATTGTTTGTCCGTTGGTTTCATTTCAAAAAATAAAAAAAAGCATCAATTCAAGGGTAAGTTGTTAAATGGCCGTCTCTGCTTTTGTAAACAATGATACAATCGTACCACAATTAGGTTGAAGTAACTGAACCCTCACCTGATGGCGGTGTTTGTTTGGACGAGCTAGCAGTTTCGACAAATGTACGTTTGAATCATTGTTTACAAACGTAGTTACGGCTAGTTATCAATCTATCCTTGAATTCCTGGTTTTGAAGGGCTTACAATAGTGGGGTTACATTTTAAGCACATCTGTCATGAAGAAGTTGATTGATCGAAAGTGAACTCCATTTCCATAAGTAAAAAGTTCTCCACATAATGTACCGGGCGTTATCTACCAACAGCAGCTTTTCATGGTGACGCATGGTTATCCACACTATTCGAATATGAAGTCAAGGGATGATGTCTGATGATGTTGCTTACTTAAGGTGATTCCTTGTAGAGTCCACAAATGGTCGCCACATAGGCTATACATATTGATGATTAGTTGATTTTCACAGTGGACATGGTGACTGATCATATATATCATACATATATTCAGTGCACCCCACATGGTAGAAGTATTGTCAATATTTTCATCAATATTTTGACGATAAGATAAAAAAAGATGCTCATGACCAGGCCCCATCTGCTGCTGCACCGTTCGAAAAATTCATGTAAATATCTGCGAGATATAGCACACATAAAATTAACGCTAGATTCGGCATAAATTTACACGATATTTTGTGTAAATTTAAGCGCAATATCGCATAAATTAGCAATATTGTATGCAAACTTGAAAATGATTTTGCTTTTTATGCCAAGTATAGTTCAAAATTAAACGAAGGGAGATTTTACGCAACAGTTAAAATTCAGATTTTTTTTCTGTGTGTAGTCAAAGAGCAAAGGAAAATGAAACCCGAAATCAAACTTTTTAGATTTTGCGTCGTCAATATTTGCTTCAATATGATTGTTTATAAGTACCCTTTTTTTGTTTATTAATTTATTTCATAAGGCTCAACCGAATTAACTTTACAGAGCCGAGGATTCTTGTTCACTATACAATACATCTTAAAACTATAGTCAAAACGTACAACACAATAAACATTTTATTTTCCGCTATCCAATAAGCCTTCTCTGCTTCCAGTGGATTCATTGTATGACAGATTCGCCAACGGGGAGCAGAGTAATTCCATTGCAGCAATGGACGCAAAACGTGGTCAGTACTCACACATTCATCACGAAACGGTAGTGGTTTTTTTCCCATTACATCTGGTTAAAATCACGTCCAGCAAAGGTCGTTTAAGGTATCGTTGAATGGTTGACACGTTTATCATCCCAGCAGGAGTCCCGCAAGGCAGTCTGTTGGGCCCGTTGCTCTGCAGCATCTACACTTCCGACGTTCTTCTCTTCGGAGACGGTAGCGTGTTTCGACTACGTCTTTGATTTCTATATGGAGGTACACTTTGTGAAAACCAAAAATGGTACATGTAACAACATTATGAAAGGTTTTGAACGTTAATAACTCAGCTGCCGCTGGACCAATTTCAATAATTTTATCACCAATCGATTAAATTTAAGACTTTATCATTTTTTTAAAAAGTTTACTATTGAAAAATGCACGAACTGTTGCTATGATAATTAAAATTATCACCGGTTGCCTGCGAAAAACGATTTCTCTAACACAAATTTCAAAGCTGAATTGCATCCGGTCTCACCAAACAGTGTTTATTCAATCACCGCGTGGTGAGTGGTGGTGTTCGCCAGTACACAACGAAAGGCTCCCCGCAAGCAGCTAGCGATCAAGACTGACCTCAGTTCAAATTATCGTGTGTGGTGATGCCCCGTCGTCGGCATCAGCAGCAGAGCTTTCGGCACGTAGCGTTGAACATTGTTCTCTAGTACACAACGAAAAACCACCTGCAAGCAGCGAACTGCAGCCCACATGAGCATCCATAGAAGGAAGAAGAAGAAGAGAACCCCGCTCAAATTCCTATTCCTACACAAAACACAAGCTCCCCAACAAACAATTTTAGCTGCAAATTAGCTTATACAGCCAAAATTTGCCTTATGCAGCTAATTTTTGCCTGTATAAGCTAAACTGCAGCTAAAATTGTTTGTTGGGTCCTGCTGCAGTTAACAAATAAGATTTATTAAATAAGACCACGTAGTCCTACGTCGCCATTGCGTACAACCCCATAGGGTTGTCCCTTGTAGTTTTTCCTGTTCGCAGATGATACCGCACTAGCCGTCAAAGGAAGGATGCCTCGAGAAATAACGAACAAACTTCAACGATGCCCTAAAGCCTCTGCTGATTATGCCACCACGTGGAAAATTAAAATCAATGCATCCAAAACTCAAGCGATCATGTTCCTCCATCGGCAATCGCCCAAACTAAAACCAGCTCCATCTTGTACTGTTATCATGGATGGCACAAGGGTTGAGTGGTCTGCCGAAGTAACCTATCTTGGGATGTTGTTCGAAGAAAAGCTCCTCTTCCGTTCGCATGTAGAGAAAACTGTAGTCAAGTGTTCTGCCTTGGTTAGGTGTCTGTATCCGCTGATTTGCCGCAGAGCCCGCCTCTCAAGGGTGAACAAACTGGCCTAAAAACAAATCAGAGCATCTGCAATCCACTACGCAGCTCCGGTGTGGGAAATCATGTGCATAGACTCACAGGAACAAAATCCAGGTCGCTCAGAATAGAGTGCTGAGGATGGTACTTGATCGTCCTTTCGATACAAGAATTTCCGATCTCCATCTAGAGGTGAACGTTCCTTAATTAGATTTCAAAATCGCTGACATTAAGACTAGGTTTGTGCAAAAATACATTACATCAGAACGTGCTTTGATAAGCAATTTGTATATAGTAAGGTTAGGTGTATATAGTAGCTGTAGGTTAGTTGTAGTTGTAGATAGTAGTCTCCTTTTTCAAATTTATAACAAACCAATCCCACCAAGGCCGTTAGGACTAGGAACTGTAGTTAATAATAATTGAAATTTCAAAAGAACTAAAGTTGAAAAGACGCATCTGTGTCACTTGATAAGTTATACAAGTAAACCACACAAATACATGAAATAAAGATCATTTTAAGTCAAAGTGCCTCTGCTCAATACCACTTCGGACGGCGTGGCACTGGATCTTGCAGCAAACAGAAGCAAATCAGTGGTTAATGTGATGTTTACATCTATGCGGATTTGCTAGCGCTAGTGTACTAGCACTGTGAAAAAAAACCAGCATAATGGGCATCAGCGTCTACCAGCATGTGCTAGTTGGCTAGTACACAGATGTAAACACCCCTAGAGGTGGATCACCCGCGGTGAGGTCGAAGGAGACTTGGGTTCAACTAGATCGAAACGCAGACATTATTTACAAAACACCCCCCCCCCCCCCTATCCCTTATAATGACAACCTGACAAAGACATGAACTTTGACGATCACTTTTTCCCATAAATAACAATTAACAAACTACAATTAAGTCAAATTAATTCCATTAATGTTTTACCCGCTTCTGTCCAGAGAGCCAAAACATTCTAATATGAGAGAAAATTCGCTCACCATGATGATTAGATTAACATCCTAAGTCCATCCTTTTTTAAAAATTCAACACAAAAAAAAATCAGCCCCACCCCATTCATAAAAAAAACGGCGGGAAATTCTGTCAGAGGCGAAAGTATTTTTCGTGCAGAATATGTAAAAATGGATGGACTTCGAATGTTAATCTAATTGCATATAAGAAGCACCAGATATTGATGGATGTGAAGGATAGTCAGGCAGACGGTTCTCCGAAACGACCTTAGAACGCTGCAGAGAGAGTTCGGTGTTATCAAGCCTTCGGTTTGTTTTCGTTGGTACGTTGGAAATTATTCCCTTTATAATATTCAATTAAATCACCGGCTAGAAATTTTTCTTTGAATAAAATGCGCGCAAAGCAACGAGCAAACAAAGAAGGGATGTACGTCACACTTGCTCACTGTCAATGTGTGTGTCAATTCAGTTCGGTAATAAATTTTTACCTTTTTTTTGTGTAATTTTGAATCATTAATGATTAATCAATCAAAATGTATAATTCTGTTTCTGTGCCGGCAAGGTGCAATTAGCACAGGAGGGAGGTAGCGCAAACTAAAGAGACCGAATTGGATAAAGAGGCGACACCGTCTTCTGATCGATTAGAATAACTTTTACTATGACTTTGGCAGATAATCGATTGTTCCAATTTTGACTTGTCGTCACCTTATAAATTCAGTCTCTTTAGCGCAAACCATTCAAATGTTGCTGTATTCATGTAAATACACTTAAAAAATTTAACACTTTTTTTTGAAGATCGAAAAGATCGAACGAAAAAATCGATTTTTTCGATCTTTTCGTCGACAAAGAATCGATCCGAAAAATCGGAAATCGGGATGAAAAAGATCGATCTTGCAAGATCGCGCAATCCTAATGTGATTCAATGATTTTTGACCATATTCAGAAACTGGTCACTTCTCCGGGGGATCGAAACATGGCCAGGTGTGACCAATGTGGCACTGGGCCCCCAAATGACTCATATTGAACTAGTTTTTGAATTCAAATGTGATTTGAGGTGTCATATGATAAGTTTTACTCGTTTGAGGTCGCAATTAGCCTCATGCCTCATATAAACCGCAGCATGTTTCGGTTATATTTCCGGAACCGGTTGACCGATTCCAAAATAATATGTGCTCTATGTGACGATAATACCTTTCATTTAGCGGCTGTTGATTGGTTTATGGCACTCAGCCTTAATCATGATGCCTTTTTAGGTCCAGCCATGATTCAAATTCATTGCTGAATAAAAACGTTTTATAATATCCTATTATGAGAACATTATTCATTCTTTGGTATTATTAGAAACTATAAACGTAGACTTTTTCACCAAACACACATTT